AGCCACCCCCCCCCGCCGACCTCCTCCACTCCTACTACCTTTACCACCACATCCATCACCTCTGCCTCCTCCACCCTTCCTCCCCCATCATCCGGCGCTTCCAGCACACCGCCTCATTCCTCGCCTAACCACGTCACCCCTCTTTCCCCCCCGCACTCCCATACTATCTCACAACCCATCATGACGACCTCCACCATCCCCACCCCCCGTCCCACCTATTCCCAAGTCACCTCTGGGGTTTACCCCGCAATGCCACAACTTCCCCCCAACTACCTCCTTGACGACAACAGCCAATTCGATTACACCTGCTATGACACTACCCGCGATAACCTCAACTTCAACACCCTCGACCGGATCGTTTCCCGCGAAGGGGAAATCCCCCGTTCCTTCCGATCCGCCGACATCATGCCCTTCTCCGGCCTTCCCCACAAGGACGTTTTCCTCTTCCTTACCCAGCTCCAAAACTCTTTCAAGCTCCACCACATGCCCCTTGTCCACTGGCTTCCCATTGCCACCTCCCGCCTCCTCGACAATGCCGCCAAATGGTGGATGGCCGAAGTCAGCAACCTTCGCGCCTCCGGAGGACCGCGTCACTCCTTCCTCCAATAGGCCAACCTTCTCACTGCCACCTTCTGCCCCCAAAAACCATCGATGACTACCTCGAACAATTCTGTCACCTCCGCCAGACCGGTACCACGAACTGTTTCGTCCAATACATCCGCTCCCTCCGCCATCACCTCCCCACCACCGTCATTCCCGACTTTGCATTCATCTCCCGCATCAAGCGAGTATGCCACAAAGATCTCGCAACCGCCCTCGCCCACGAACCCGACATGCCCCTTGCTGACCTCCTCTCTCGCATGCTTCACCACGATCGACTCCACCCCCATCACCAGTTCGCGCCCGCTCCTTTCCGCGCCCGCTTGTTCCATAACATCACCCCTGACGACACCACTCCACCCACCTCCGATGACGACTTCGACACTGCCTCTCTCGACCCCTCCCAATTCACCATTGAGGACCTCAAGGCCGCCCACCTTATGCGGATGGAACGCCAGGATCGTGCCTCCCGACCGCCTTCTTCCTCTCCACCCCGCCGTCTCCAGAAACTTACACCCGCAGAACGCATATACCTCCAGGAACACAACGGGTGTTTTCGCTGCCGCCAGTTAGGTCACCAACAAACCAACTGCCCCAACGCTAGCCGCTTTACTTGACAGGCCCCTCGCTCCGCAGGACCCGGCCCTTCTACTCCCACTTCTTCCTCCACTGAGACAGTCGGGCCCTCCTCCACCTGAACACTGTCCCCCTGTTACATGCTGCGCCTGCACACGCAGGCCATTTTTCAGGCCCTGCGCCCTTCAGGCCGAAAGCCTGAAATCCAGGGCTTACAGGCCCCACGTCGGTTCAGCCCGAAAGCCTGAACTTCAGGGCCTACACCCCCTATGTCGGTTCAGACTAAAAATGGCAACAACCTTTTTAGCCTGAACCCAAGGGCCATTTTCGGTCGTTCATCAGAACGACCGGCCCTGAAACTCAGGCACCGAATCAGGGTTTCGGGAACAGGCTATTCTTAGCCTGTTTCCCACGCCAGCCTCTGCAGGCTGCTGGACGCCAGCCCCTGGCACACTTCGGCATTGGCAAGAGCTGCCTCCTCGGCCTGGCTCGCCCTCCAGTAGTCAGGAGGCAGGCCGAGGTAGTACATAGGGACTTCCCAGGCACTTCCCAGGCAGGCAGTCGGCAGTTGTAGTCTTCAGGATTCGGGAGCAGCACTCTGGAGGGAGCGTTGTAGAGTAGTAGTAGCGTTAGCTTGTAGTCTTCAGCGCTGGGCGCAGTAGGTAGCTGTAGTCGCCAACGTTGGGCGCCATAGCTAGATAGTACTAGAGAGAGAGAGAGAGATTGGGCGGAGGCCAGAGGTACTTACCTGCAGCGCCGTTGCTCCAGCTTCGTCTTCGAGGTACCTGCAGCACAGCGCCAATATCACTGGTCAGTATCTGGCTCGTAACAGTGAGAGAGAGAGAGTTCTTCTTCTTCCTCTTCTCAGTCCACCATCTCCTTCTCCCCCTCTCAACATCTGACTTCATCTGCAGACTACGAGAGAAGAGAGACAGAGCTTGGTGACATCGGATCCAGACTCGACTTTTGGGACTTCAGACATGGCAACGAGGGACTATTTGGGATTGGTGACAAAGCCTTGGTGTTGACGACATTCCCATCTCTCTCCCTCCTTTCGTCTGATCCCTTTCTCTTCGTCTGTGTATGTCTGGACCTGGCGCTTTCTTCCTGTGTACAGCGCCAGGCTCCTTCACACCTGGTGAGGGATACGATGTATGTTGGGTCTGAGTTCAAACATTGATTGGGCTAGTTATTAGCATTMTAGCATTCTGCTTCGCTACTTTGTACTACGTGAGTGAGGTCAGTCYCGGTCAGGTCAGTCTTTGTATCWRAGTCTTCCCTGCGCTATTCAGCACCTTTTGTATGTATGAGAATGCACACTGTCTTTCGAGATTCTACTCGCACTGCATTGTCCATTTTGTCCTTTTCATCACATTGCAGATCCTCGGTTATTACGTACATCACGTATCTGTGCATGTAACACTGTCCCTTGCAATCCTCCCCCGACATCGACCACTTGTCTGCCGGCTCTCCCATCGGTGACGATCTCTCCTCCACCGGTGGCCCACTTGGCATCGACTATCCATCAACCTACCCCCCCCCCGGTGATGCACATCCCATCGAACGACCCCCAGGCGACGCAGTCTACTCCGCCTACCCCCCTCCCGACGACGTCTGCTATCCCGTCGGTTGAGCTTCCCACTGGCACCTGCTCTTCTACTCTCATCCCTAACCCCTTCTCTACCACCTTCTCCGATCTCGTTGAGAAACACGCACGACACGATCGGCTTGTTAGATTAGGCTTGGAATAACGTCGCCTCAACACCATGATCTCTTCTGCTTATGTCGGAACCGCATAGTTCCAGCTCAAGTTTATCGTCGTCTCCCTTGATGCATCGACGGTGAAGTTTCGGGCCCTCCTTGATATTGGTGCCACCGGCAACTTCATCACCGAAGCCTATGTCCGCAAAGCCGGCCTCTCTTCCACCGGCTATGACTCCCTGATCACCATCCGACTAGGGGATAAGGACTCAACCATCATTGTCGATCGCACTGTCCCCAAGACCCTCATGACTGTCGGTCCTCTTCGCAGTCAGGTCTCCTTCGATGTCATGCACCTCATGTGCGACATCGTCTTGGGGACTCCATGGCTTGACCGTTTCATGCCCTACTCCTTCCACCCCTCCTTCGTCCGACTCACCCGCCCTCCAGACTCTCCTCTTGATATCCCTTACCTTCTCCCCCCTTCTAACCCACCCCTTGTCTCCCCTCACCAGTTCGTTCACATATCTAGTGAACACCCCGACTTCGCTTACTATTGTCTTGTTATCGACCACGAGCATCCCGAGGACTTGCTTCCAACGGATAAACCCGACCAAGACCCCCCTTCAGGACGTATGAGTTCTTGCCCTCCGGTTTACCTCCCGATCGAGGTGTATCCCATACCATTAATCTTGAGACCAGCCATTCTCCTCCTTGCTGCCCTTCGTACCAACTCTCCGTCCTCGAGGTTGAAGAAATGAAGCGCCAGCTCAATGAACTCCTTGAAAAAGGATTCATTAAGCCTAGCTCCTCCCCCTTCGGAACCAGTTGTCTCTTCGTCAAGAAAGAACGGCACCTCGGAACTGCGAATGTGCACAGACTATCGTGCCTTGAACCGGATCACGATCAAGAACAAGTACCCACTCCCCCGGATATCTGAACTTCTTGATCGTCTCCGTGGAGCCAAATATTTCACCAAGATCGACCTCCGCAGTGGCTTCCACTAGATCCGTATCCGCAAGGAGGACACCCACAAAACCGCATTCCGCGCTCGGTTCAGGCACTACGAGTTCCTCGTAATGCCTTTTGGACTCACCAATGCCCCCACCACATTCCAGTCCACCATGAACCACATCTTTCGTGACCTCCTCGAAGTCTGTGTCGCCGTGTACCTTGATGACATCCTCATCTTTAGCCCCACCTTTGAGTCCCACCTTCAGCACATTTGCCAAGTCCTCTCGATCCTCCGAGAGCAAAAATTCTACGCCAAGCTCAGCAAATGTACGTTTGCCGCTTCGAGCGTTGAATACCTTGGCCACATTGTCTCCGCTGAAGGCATTCGTATGGACCCCTCGAAGGCCACAACCCTCGTCGAGTACCCCCCGCCCAAGACCCTCCTCCAACTCCGTTCCTTCCTCGGCCTTGCCAACTATTACCGCCCGTTCATTCGGAACTTTTCCGAGATCTCTTACCCTCTCCACGAACTCACACGCAAGGATGAGCCCTTCAATTGGAACGATCGCTGCCAACACGCTTTCGACCTCCTCAAGCAAACCATCACCACAACCCCTGTCCTCAAGATCGCCGACCCCACTCGCCATTTCTATATCACCACTGATGCCTCCGACTTCGCCATCGGAGTCGTATTGTCCCAACATTTCCCCCACGACACCGCCGAGACCCCCTCCATCAAGGACTCGCCCACTCACCCCGAGGCTCCACCCGGCAAATACCCCATCGCCTTCGCAAGCAAGAAGCTCCTTTTCGCGGAGATGGATTACCCCTCCAACGAGAAGGAACTCCTCGCCGTGATTCACGCCCTCACAGTCTGGCGCCCGTACCTCGACRSGCAATACTTCACCATCCGCACTGACAACACCATCGTCTCCTCCATCCTCTCCAAGAAAGATATCACTCCACGCCAAGCCCGCTGGCTAGACTTCCTTGCCCAGTTCACATTCACCATTTGCCATACCCCCGGCAAAAGCAACCGYGTTGCSGATGCCCTCTCRTGACGACCCGACCACAAGCCCCCCGAGAAAGTCTACGCCGCCATGACTCATATTCAACTCCTTCCATCACTTCATCATCGATACACCCAAGGCTATCTCTCCTGCTCAGACTTCGCCACCATTTACAACAAACTCCGCGATCTTGACCCAGTTTCGGACTACTCCCTCCACAACAATCTCACAGTCTGACGCCCGTACCTCGACGGGCAATACTTCACCATCCGCACTGACAACACCATCATTTCTTCCATCCTCACCGAGAAAGACATCACCCCACGCCAAGCTTGATGGCTCGACTTCCTTGCCCAGTTCACATTCACCATTTGCCACACACCCGGCAAAAGCAACCACATCGCCGACACCCTCTCTCACCGCCCCGACCACAAGCCTCCCGAGAAGGTCTACGCCGCCATGACTCACATTCAACTCCTCCCATCACTCCATCACCGTTACACCCAGGGCTACCTCTCTTGCTTAGACTTCGCCTCTATCTACAACAAGCTTCGCAACCTCGACTCGGTCCTTGACTACTCCCTCCACGACAACCTCCTCTACATCGACAGCAAAGGCACTCGCCGACTTTGCATCCCTGACGCACGTGGTCTCTGTACCCAGCTCTTGGCCGAGCACCACGATGCCAAGACTGCAGGTCACCTCGGTTTCCAGAAAACCTTCGACACCATCTCCCGGTACTTCTATTGGCCTTCTCTACTCGCCGACGTCAAAACATACGTTCGCTCATGTCCCACGTGTCAGGCTGTCAATCCCTCGAACCGGGCCAAACCCGGCAAGCTCCAATCATTGCCCATCCCCACTCACCGGTGGCAGTCTCCCTACGACAGACCGCGGGCATGATTGCATCTACGTCATTGTCTGCCACCTGACCAAACACGCCCACTTCATTCGTTGCACCACCTCGCACACCTCCAAAGATATCACCTTACTCTTCCTCGACCATGTTGCACACCACCACGGCCTCCCCTAGAATATCATCAGCGACCGCGATCCCCTTTTCCTCTCACAGTTCTGGAAACAACTCTTCGACGCCTACGGAACTACACTCAAGTATAGCACTGCATTCCACCCACAGACCGATGAACAAACCGAGAAGATGAACGATACTCTCCAAAGAATCCTACGAAAGTACTGTCATCCACACCAACACGATTGGGATCAGTTGCTCACCACCGCCGAGATCGCCTACAACAACGTTGTATGTCCTTCCACTGGCATGTCTCCATTCTACCTTGACCTTGACTACCATCCGCGCTTGCCCTCTGATTTCCTGCTTCCCTCGCAACTCAACCCCTCCACACCCTGCCCTTCCCTCAATGAATGGGTAGCAACTATGAATCGACTCCTCAAGAGAAGCAACCGAAGCCCTCGAAAGAACACAAGAACAACAAGCAAACAAGACCAACAAACACAGATGAGACTTGCAATTCAAAGTAGGGGACAAAGTCTGGCTCTCCGCCAAACGCTTTGAACCCGAACATGGATTGTCAAAGAAACTCTCGAACAAATGGCTCGGACCCTTCCCCATCATTGAAAAAACCTCCGACGTCAACTACAAACTCCAACTCCCCCCCGACATGAGCCGCGTCCACCCGGTCTTCCACGTTGAATACTTGAAAGAATATCATGAATCCCCACCCCAATTCGCTGACCGCCCATATCCTAGACCCACAGGCCCTGAATTCGTAGTTGAAGCAATCATAGGTCGACGAACTACTCAGGTATCTGACCACCCGGAACCAATCATTGAATACAAAGTCAAATGGACCGGATACCGCGACGAAGAATCTACATGGGAGCCTCTCTCGAATCTCAAGAATGCAATGAAACTTGTCCGCGCCTATGATCGTGCTACTCCTATGTCCTGCACACCCACGTAACTACAACCCTAAACCCATGTATAAACCTTGCTACAACCTCGCAACCCCGTTCTACACACACCCTTGAACCCAGTCCACCCTCCCCTCGACCTCGATTCCTGATGTCTGATCTGCCCTTGCCCTCGCCTAGCCTTGTCCCATCTGTCCTCTCCAAGGGTCTCTCTTGTCCAAGGCTTGTGAACCTGCGTGACGCCGGCGATAAAGGATCTAATGGCTAGCGCACGAGGACGATGGCCTGCTGCCGCACTGTTCATGGAGATTACGCAGCTGGTTTGGCCACCATGCTGTTTCATCGGCCGTCATCCCGACTCGCAGACTTCCTAGAGCAGAAACTTGTGACATGGATCTTTGCATCAGTCTGCGACCTCCTTGCTCCCAGATCAGACCTCACTGCAGTTCATGTACCGGACGCACCCTAGCACTTGGACTTTGGGCATTTGAACTACTGTTACGCTTCTTGGACTTCTACCTGTCTCAGTCACTGAAGACTGCTTCTACCACCTACTCCAAGACCTGATCAAGACCGCAGCAGATCCCCTTTCAAGACACTTGGACACTTTGTCCCTACATGAGATTCTGCTTCTGACTCCTTCGGACACACCAGCCCTTGCCTCCTGACCAAACATTTTCCTTTTTATTTTTTTCCTGACTTTGACAACCCTGTAGAACATCATTAGCAGATCCCTGTTTCCCTGACCATTGCTCCCCTTACCCACTAGAACATCAATAGAAATTCCCTGTTCCCCTGACCATTGTTTCCCTTACCCACTAGAACATCAATAGAAATTCCCTGTTTTCCTTAACATTGTTTCCCCCTACCCAGTAGAACATCAATAGAAATCCCTTGTTCCCTGAACATTGCTTAGCTTCCCCTATAGACCCACCCAGTCGCATCATACCTTCACCTGTGCAGAACACCAGACATAATACCCTGTGACTTGCATCGCTCCCCTTCTCCTTCTCCGACCAGTGATCGGCCCCATCCCGTCCTTCACAGCTCTTTTTGTTTCCTTGGCTTTTTGGCAGCCGGGACGTTGCCTTTCAGAGGGAGGGGATAGTGTTACGGACTCGACCAGGGCTCAATCCCTGGTCTATCTTTTTGCTGTTTCTGCTGCATCCCGTTTTCGGCCTGGCACCCTTTTTTCCAAACCCCTCCTTTGGTACCGTCGAATTTTGGACAACTGACGCCATGCTGCAATTTGGGCTCCACTTTCAAATACCGCATTTTTCAGTTCTGCCCTCGGGGCTTTTGCGGAAATGCCCCTGGTACCGTACGTGTCACTGGTACTTATACCGGCTCCCCGTACAGTAAGGGGACCAGTCTCGTACCAGTTTCCAGCTGCTGTACTCSTACTCRGTGTGACTTGCTGTTTCGGCATTCGGAATCCAAGACTTCGACTTTGTGCCCTTGCCACCGTGCCTGCATCCGACCCTCAGTCGTGTCGAGTGAGTGAGTGTGTGTGTGTGCTCTCACTCTCTCCCTCTCCCTCTCCTCTCCCTCGGCTCTCCCTCAGCCTCGCGCTCGTCACACCCACACAGTTTTCGGTCTGCTAAATCTGCATTTCTCCGAGAGAGATTCTGCATTTAACCTGTTTGCTGAGATTTCCGATTTTAAACCACCAGTTCGGCCAACCCCGCATATTTTCTCCAGTGGACACAGGAAAAGTAAAAAGCTTTGGCCTACTGGACCCAAGGGGGGGTACCTGGTGGTGTGGAGATTTCCAAGTACCCCCACGTCGGCGATTTTTAACTCTAATTTCTGGCGGCAAAAAATTACGAAAAAAATCCATGGAAATATTTGCGCCAAGTCGAATACATACTCGAATCAAAGTCAGCGTGACCCAGTAGGAGAGGGGTTTCAGGCTGGGAAGGCCCAGTAGACAGGCTCATACGTTTAGGCTTTTCCGAACTGGTGGTTTAAGCCTGTTTTACTGTGTTTTCTGTTTCTGTGTGATCTGCCACTGATGTATGTATGTTGTGTGCTTTGCAATCAGACTCGTTCTCATTCACACTTTTCATGCATGTAAACAGTAGCGCAGCAAACTGGCGACATGCGCCCACTCAAAACTCAGAGATATAGCATCCAGATACGAGTTCACTTTCAACTGGCTATGGCGACTCGGCGCCCAAACAACTCACTGTTCACATACACCGGATCACCCTGGATATCCCACACGCGTCACTCTGAACACTCACACATACACACACACACTTCACACTAAACTACAGCTATGGCAGCTATGGCTGCCTCTACCCTATCGCTATGCTACGCTCCTTCACTCTTGCCCACTTCAGCTCCGGGCTCTCTGCAGACCTCCTTGCACAAGTTGCTGTGGCAGCGCTTCCGCATGGCTCACGCAGGAAATGAATGAAAGGCTGGGCGCTGCCTCTTGATTTATACTTCTGAAACTCGTTGGTCTGCCCTCTTCCATCGGCCCATGGGGCTCACAGTCCCTTGTGGTACTTGCTGGACCGGACTGGGACTGACTGGACCTTACCGCTGACTGAGTGGGGACTCACTGCTAACCTACCGAGATCGTACTGCAATTGCACTGCAGTTTAGTCCACCACTTGACTCACCACTTGCCCACTTGCCCACTTGCTGACCTTCTAGAAGGACTACAGCTAAGACTTCTGGAACTCGCTAAGACTTCTATCCTACAGATCTACAGATCGAACCCCTCTGCTACCTACGGACCTATGACAGCCTATCAACTGTTTGCGAACACACAGGTCACAGGTTCAACTCTCGGGGTCTACACAGATACTGTACACAGGTAGGGCAAGGTCTAGGGATCGAACCCTGGGATCTGTGTTTGCTACTGCAAAGAGGTGAAAACCGTTTCAGCTTGCTTGCTGAATTGTGGGTCCCAGTCTGACTCCTTGTCCTAACTCTGTTGGCCATGATGTGTGTCTGTGCCTCGAACAGGGACAAGGTGGAAATAGGGGTAGGATCAGGCAGGGACAGGTTGGAAGGTTCGCAGTTGGGACGTACTGAATGATGGGGGATGGCCAGGGACATA